TACCATTTTCCATATGAAAAGATGACCGGTTTGAAAGCAGTGGCCAAGAGGCTGAAAAACTGAGCATAGCTTTCACAGGCTCACAGGGATGGTAAGAGAGACATTACCAAAAAAAACAAAGAAAAAAGACCATGAAAAATGATTCACAGAAGATCCATATAATGGCATTATCAGGCACAAGCTTTAAATAAATGTAATGAATACATTCAAAAAGTAAAAGGGCAAATGGAGAATTTTGGGAAATAATTAAAATTATTTTAAAACAGAATTCTAGAACTGCAAAATGGAAAAACGGAAATAAACTAAAAAAAAGGTGGGGGGCTTAACAGCATGTTAGACACAGTTGAAGAGAGAATTAGTAAACTTGAAGAAATAAAAAAATAGCCAGTCTGAGGCACAGACAAATAAAAGGATGAACATTATAGAAACGAACATCAGAGACATGTGGGACCCAGTGAAGTGGTTAAGTATACATGTAACTGGTGTTCTAAAAGAGAAAGAGATTGAGGCAGAGGTAATATTTTTAAGAGATAATGGCTGAGAATTTCCCAAAACTAATAATGAAAGACAAAGTCTCAGAATCATAAAGCACTAGAATATTCAAGTAGGATAAATTCAAAGACACATGACGACAAAACTGTTGAAAGCCAAAGATAGAGATAATATTTTCAAATAAATCAGACAGAGGGAAAAACACTTATCATTGTCAAAGAAGCAACAATTATGATTTTCAGCTGAATTTTCAATATAAACAATAGAAGTCAGAAGACAACTGATTATCTTTAGATTAACCAATTCAGAATGCAAAACTCAGTGAAAATATACTTTAAAAATTAAGGTTAAATATATTTAAGGATACATTTTAAGATAAACAAATTCTGATTTTTTTCCCAGAAAACTCATATTAAAATAAAAAAGCACATTCTCTGGTTAGAAGACAAATTAAATCAGGGAGAAACTCAGAGACTAAGGAATGAATAAAGAGCAATAGGGAAAGTGATATGTAAATAAATCTAAATATTCACTATATAAAAATAATGATGATGGTTATATTATAATAATTACAATAATTACAGATACAGTGTATACGTAATACACTCAACATAGCAACGATCATGAACATGACACAAGACTGGGCAATGTTTTGTTCTGTTATACATAAGGTAGCTATGAGTCGGAGTCAACTCAACAGCAAATAACAACAACAGTGCATATATGTAATACACAATTAAAATACATGACACCAACAGCACAGAAGGCAAGAGAGGGTACATGGGGTTAAAGTGTTCTAAGGTCCTTGCATTTTCTGGGAAGTGCTAAAAATACTAATTTTTGTTAGATTTTAATTGGCTAAAAATTTTATATCTAGGACCAGTGTTATATAAAAAAACTTTTTGCAATGATGAAAATGTTTATATCTATGCTGATCAATATGGTAGCCACTAGCCAATGGTGTCTACTGAGCATGCAATGTAGCTAGTGACTACCATACTGGACAGCACAGTTAGGCAATCCCTAGAAGAACAGAAAGAATGCATAGCTAACATGCCTAATTGAAGGGGAAGATAGAACGTTAAGAAATACGTAGTCATCCAAAAGAAGGCGGGAAGAAAGAACAGGAACACAGAAATAGGAACATAGACCAGGAAGGATGAATAGAAAGCAAAAAGTAGTGTGGTCAATTTAAACCCAAACACAACAATAATTATATTAAATGTAAGTTTACCAAATTCTCCAAGTAAAGGATTAAGATTTTCAACCTGGATATAAACAAAACCAATATAACATAACTATATGCTGCTTACAAGAAACATACCTTAAATATAAGGGCACAGAGCAACTGAAGGTTAAAGAATGGAAAACAATATGCCACAAAAATGGTAACCAAAGAAAGCTGGTGTAGCTATATTAATATCAGACAAAGTAGACTTTAAGGCAATAATCACAGCCAGAGATTAAAAAATTTCATATTTATTAAAAAAAATCAATTCACTAGAAAGACATACCAATTCTAAATTTGTACACACCTAATAGTCTCAGAGGAGCCCTGGTGGTGCAGTGGTTAAGAGATCAGCTGCTAACCAAAAGGCTGGCAGTTCAAATCCACCAGCTGTTCCTTGGAAACCATATGGGACAGTTCTACTCTGTCCTATAGGGTTACTATGAATCAGAATCAGTTCAATGGCAATGGGGTAATAGTCTCAGAATACCTAAGTCAAAAAATGACAGAACCAAAGTGGGAATTAGACAAATCCTCAATCACAATGCTACATTTTTCAATCTCTCCCAGTAACATACACACAAAAATTAGAAGGAACATAGAATTTTTATACAACAGGATCAACAAACTTGTCCTAATTGACATATATAAAACAATGCCTTTAACAAATACACAATACATATTCAAGTGCACACGGAAACTTTTCCAAAATAGAAAACATCCTGGGCCATAAAGCAAATTCTAAAGGTATAAACATAACAAAACATGTACAGGACCTGTATGCTGAAAACTACAAAAAAAAAAAAAAAAAAAAAAGGCCCGGCAATCTAATTCCAAAAATTAGCCAATGAAAACCCTACGGATCACAACAGAATATTGTCTGATACAGTGTTGGAAGACGAGCCTGCTAGGTTGGAAAGCTACAATGGCTTCAAACATGTCAACGATTGTGAAGACGGTGCAGGATCAGGCAATGTTATTATGTGTGACATACGGTCACCGTAAGTCAGAGCTGACCTGACAGCAAGTAACAACAACAACAAAGAGTGGAAGCAACCAAGATGTCCTCAAACGGGCATGAAAAAACAACAAGGAATACCTGCATCCATCACTTGGTGTACATGTCTGATTTTATTTTTAGAATGAGGTATCAGTAAAAATACACCTGCACTTGTATCTTGAAAAAAGTTTTGCTAAATTATTTTGTTCTATGATACCATATCATTTTCTATAATTAGTCAAGCTTACAATAAAGGCTTTCAAGTTGAAATGAATTATCCATAGGACTGAATCAATTCCTTCTCCCAAAGTTTGGTCTCTTCTTAGGTCACTGAAGGTTATACATTAAGATGGGAACCAACCTTCTTTTAGAAACAACCAGTGTGTTACCAACGTGGCCTTCAGCCCTCTATAGTCTCAATATTTGAACTTTCTGAAAATCCGAATTGTGGATCTGCTCAAAAGTCATCCCACGTACTTCTCCTTTGAGCTACCTAAGCAGTGAACGTTTTGGGCAAACTTATACCCATAGAAAAATTTCTTTACCATTCTGAATGAATTAGGAGTAAAGGTGACCCTTATCCACTGTGATCTTGATTTCATGGCTAAGCCACTGTTGAAGAACTTCTCGTGGCTATGATTATAGAAGTCAAGAAGGAACACTGCAGTTGACTCTTCAAGAAAATAAATAATGCAAGAGACTGACAAAGAGTGTAAACACAACACCTTCTTCCTGGAGTTACTGTTCTCATTACTAGCAGTCAATTAATTCCCATAAAGCCAAGACACAAGCAAACTCCATTTTATTTTGCAGTAATGTACTACAGAAGAGGCTCCTGGACATCGAAGAGTCCATGAGTGGATTTCAGTATTTCAAAACATCAAATGGCAGGTGTCCATTTCCTGCAAACAGAGTCATGCCTGCCTCACATTTCCCTACTTTATGATGAAAATACATCGACAGTGTGTGGAGTGCTAGTCATTATCTCTTGCTGCAAAGACATCCAACTGGCAGTTGTATGGCTAAAATCAATCAAAATGGGAACACGAATTGCACTTAATACTTGTAGTTAACCTGGCAGACAGGTATCGTTCAAAACATGAGGTCTTTACAGGAAGGGTAATAAAAAGAGCTGGGAATCTGAGCTTAGAATTCGGATCAACTTGGAAAGACAATCCCTTCAATTCTCCTTAGATAAGGATATACATAAAAATCAGATAATGCACTGTGGCTAAATACTTTTACTCAACCTTCTGTGATGGACACTTTAACATGGCATTGTGTCAACTGATACTATTCATGGCACTAGTACAAATGAAGATGCGCAGTTAATACATCAGCATCCAGTGTTGCATCGCTTGGTATAACTAAAGCATTGAAAGGAGATGCTACTGTTCAGCACAATCATCCCTCAAATTCTCTACCAGGCTCACAAATTATATACAACATCCTGCAGTACAGAGTTTGGCTTAGCTCCTTTCTGAATTTCAGCTTCCCCAAATGCAAACTAGCCAAAGGAGCCATCTTATGCCGCCTGATAATGGCAGGACCCTGAAGCCAGCCAGCCTTCTTGGTTTGCAGGTGAGCCTGTGAGAGCAGAGAGGACAGTGGCTTGCCCCAGGCCAAGTGGCCATCGAGGGACAAAGCCGGGTCTGGTGCCCACACCCCCATCTCAGGCTTTAACAGCCTGTAAATCAGAATGTACTTGCATTTTCTATCCTCATGGCACACCACGAGTTCTCACGCTCATAACTATGGCTCATAGCATTGTCCTCATGAAGCTTGTAAAATGCTTCAGTGTGAGCTTCTGTATTTACAAATAGTTTTGGGTATGGGAAGAGAGGTAGCTGTAACTGAGTCAGGTATGGACAGGCCATGGTACTTGGTTTATGACTGTGTAATAATATGTGTCTGTATTGTTAGTGATCCTGAATGTGTGTGGCAAAACAAAGCCAAGTTAACTTGAGTTTTCTCATCATGGTTCCTCCCAACAGGCCCAGGCAACACTGACAGACGAGAAAAAAAAACGAGAGATGAGACTGACAACAGTGAAAGCATCCCAGGTGCTCCTTGGCACTTGTTATTACAGACACAATCTTCACACAGGGGAGGATTATTTTAATTCTGTGGCCTTCAGATCTCATAAGCACAAGTAAAAACAAGCAGGTAACTATGACAACTCTACTTCAGAGAGTTTAAATTTCAAAAATAAACCTATCCATCCAGTCCCTTTATTTTGTTCTCTTAACATACACTCTGTCTTCTCTTCAGCTGGGGTTTTCATGTCACTTCAAAGCTATTTCCACCAGTTGCATATCGAGACATGCTGTCCCTCTTGCCATCTGATGCCAAGATGGAATCTGGAGGAGGACCTCTGTCCAGGGTGATGGAATCTGAAGGAGAACCTCTGGCCAGGGTGATGGAATCTGGAGGAGAAGCTCTGGTGGAGGTGATGGAATCTGCAGGAGAAACTCTGGTCGAGGTGATGGAATCTGCAGGAGAAACTCTGGTCGAGGTGATGGAATCTGCAGGAGAACTCTGGTCGAGGTGATGGAATCTGCAGGAGAACTCTGGTCGAGGTGATGGAATCTGTAGGAGAAACTCTGGTCGAGGTGATGGAATCTGGAGGAGAAACTCTGCTTGGGATGATGGAATCTGGAGGAGAACCCCTGGTCGGGGTGATGGAATCTGGCAGCCTCTTCCCACTGACCACCTATTCTAGGGTTGATTCTGGGTCTCTTCAGAAACTTCTCTGGCTGTTGCCAGGGTTCCACCTTTCACAATCAAGTTAAAACAAGACTCTATTAACACATGCTGCTCTGCATCCAGGCCTGAATGGGGTAATTTTCATGCACAGCCTTCAGCTCCCAAATTGCATCTGTGGCTTGCTTGGGGTCCATTTAAAAAATTCTACGTTCCCCAGAAAAAGCAAGTGAGGCCTCTTCTGACCAGGGCTAGTAAGCAGGGAACGGTCTTAAACAAATCAAGAGGTGTCACTAAGGATTCCTATCAGTGGATCTGCTGGTCACTAAGGGGTGAAGGGCCCAGATGGAGCCGGCACTGGAGCATCCCAAGAGAAGAGGTAGGTCTTACAGATGAGGCTGGCCCAGTCACACAGCCTTGCTCACCTAGATGACTTCTAGACCCCATGAATGTTTATTCTTTGGAGGGGGACAGAGATATTGCACTGAACACCCTGAACAGTACTGGTGCATGAGCAGCACTGTCTTTGTGTCCAGGTGGACCACTATGGGAGGCATTCTTCCACCCTCTGTGTGAAGCACGGTTTAGCTCTAGCTCCTTTGGAGATCCTAGCAATTTGAGGCCGGGGGAAATGATGGTGTCTGGAATATAATGATTCCTAAAGCTGAAGGAGGCTGGGGCAGCAGAGGTGGAAGGTGGAGGACCACCTCTTCTTCAAGAGCATCCATGAGTCACCATGCTGTGTATCCCCAGGACTGGGGTGGGGGTGGGGAGTGTCTGCATGGGGCTACATTGCCAGGTATGTGTGGGAACAGCCAACAAAATCTAGGTTTCAGGCAGAAACTATTAGTCGCCTTTGTAGGACTAACTGAACCAAAAGCCTTGGAGTAAAAAGGGCTTGGGATTTGGGTCAAGAAAGGAAACTAACATCTCTGAGTACTCTATTTAGGGACAGAGTTAAGTGCTTTGATTATATTATTTTTGACAACTTTGCAAAAAATAATATTACTCTGCCCATTTAACAGCTGAGGAAACTGAGACTACGAGGGCTTATGTTACTTGTGCAAGGTCACCTGGCCAGCTAGCAGTGGCACTGAGATTTGACCCAGTCTCCCCAACTTCAAGACCCCATGTTCTTTCCAAGAGATCACTCCAGCCTCATACCTGCCTATAAGCACCCTGTCCAGCTGTTGAATGACTGGCTGATTACTTATAATAACTGACTGACTGACTGATTAAACAGCGTTCCACTTCTAGCTCCACTGCCTACAAGCTGGGAGATCTTGTGTAAATGGCTTACCCCCTCTGTGCTGCTGCGCAGGCCGCCTTTTGTAAACTGTACAGCACCCTCGGCTCCCCACCACTGCTGTTGTTGATCCTTGTCATTTCCAGTGGGAGCAGGGACCAGAGAATCTCTCCCCTAGACAGAACCAGTTCCTAACCTTGGCCAAAGGAGGCCGTGGATCATATATACTGTCTGGTAAACTGTTCTTGTTGTGGAAACCACTACTCATTTGGCAATTTCTCTCAGACCCTGGCTACCAGAAGGCTTTGCACATCTCTTCTTGTACTCTTGAGTGGAACTCTGTTCTTGATGGTGATGGGAAGTGAATTAATGCTTGGCTGAGTAGGCACTGTGGGCCATTATCTAATGATCTCCTCACAATGACCTATGAGGAAAGTTTTCTATGGTCCCACATTAGAGGTGGGGTGAGGGTAGTGGTCAGTAGTGGAGTTGGGATGGAGGCCCTCATAGCGTTGACTCTATCCTGCTGCGCACCCTGTTGCTGCACTGCCCTTTGCCCACCCCCTCAGTCACCATGCTGTCTTTTGCCTCCTCTCACAGGAGTCTGGCTGCAGAAGCACCCTACCATAGAGATCGGGTCAGTGTCTGACTGGAGGAGGCAAGAGTTGGCACCTTCATGAGTAGTGAACAGGCTGACTTTCTGTAGTGGGGAGCCACCTCCAGCCTCCGGGAGCACAGGCCCCAGAGGGAAAGGTTTGGTCTGTGGTGTTCAGGACAGCAGCATCGAGAGCGAGTGTCAAAGTGGGGAATACTGCTCCTCTCCAATGATAGTTCTGGGTATGGGAAAGCAGCAAGCAAGGGAGGATGGGTGGTAGCAAACATCTGAATTATCAAATAGCATGGGAGAGATGACCTTAGGAGAACAAACCAGCATTGAGGGATTTACTTCTTTCTCTTGATCTTTTTCCCTCCTTCTGGGGTTTGTAGGCTCCTCAAACCAGCTGGACACCTTCATTCTCCTGTCCTGCCCAAACTCCTGTCTGTACCTGTGGGCACCTGCTCAATCCAGAGGTCATGGAAATGACATACTGAGGACTTGAGTGCTTTTCTATTTCACCCCATAAGACATGATTATTTTCTAGAAGAAAATTATCTGTAGCTACCTCCTTCTTCACTTTAGGCCAGTCAATTCTCTCAGCTCTTTGCAGGGCAGTAAAAATGCCCTTATTGCTCAGAAACTGTTCATAATTGCATCAGTTTCTGGCCATTAAATCCTGTAAGTTTAAAATGCTGAATATAATATAGCTGGTTTGAGAAATCTCTTAGGCCTGCTCCAACTATCTATCTACAACATTCAGGTCCAAAATAAGTGGGGAAAAAACAGTTTTAATTGGCAAAAAATTATGACTGTGGACCTCTTGTGGCTATAAGAGTAATCTAGAGGTTGGCCCAAAGAAGGTTCTGGTGGCATACAGGGTCAGGCCATATCTTTTTCCCCAGGAGGATCCAACCCAAGTGTTCAGAAAGGCAAACACGAGAGAAAGGAATTCCAAGGCAGTGGTACTCAAATGTCAACCATGAGATGAAGCTGAACTCATTTCTTCACAAGAGAAAATGCTCAAGTACAGAGCTATGATTTGATAAGCGTGTGAACTTGGGTCATAAGAAGTAAGGAACTGTGTGAGCAGATATTATGTGAACTTGATCCAAACAAATGTTAGCTGATCCTTAGGAATACCATATGGGGTAAGACTGAGGTATCTACTTAGCAGTGGATATGTGTTGTGTGTGTGTGTGTAACAGGAGGGAGGTGAGAACAGAGAAGTAGACAGAAAGAAAAGTGCCATTTCTAGCTCCTTCTCTGAACGGTCTACTGGATAGAGGTGAGCAAAGTAGATGTGGGGCCAGCAAGGCTAATTAAACCCTACAGCTTCCTCTTTCCTCAGTTCCTTACTCTAGAAAACAAGGACACTGTCAGCCACTAAACCACTCTGCCGTGGTGATTCAACCACTAAAATGGGGACAATCAGGAAAATGCTCACTATCTAAATGTTATGTAAAAAACAAAATATACAAGCATATGTGAAATATGACTGCAAGTATATGCATTAAGTTTGGGTAGATCTTATGTTTGAGGCCCTTGGTGTTACAAGAAAATTATATACCAGACCCTCACTCCCAAGGGCCTCAGTCTACTGAGAAGTGGGAAAAAGAGAAATCACAATGATATATGAGGTGAGTACACATGAAAAGCTCTTTTGGCAACTGTGAAGGTTCCTACAAATATTAGTGTAATTCTTTGGTAGAGGAACCCTAGGTGCAAAGAAGGGGGAAGCTATTCAACTCATCTTGAAGAGGGGTCAGTGACACCATCACAGAGGAGGTGTGCTCTGAATAAGGCTTTGAGGAATGAACAAGAGCTTTCCAGGCAGCAAAGGGGCCACAAAGGCAGGAGTTGAATTAGCCAGGGCCTGGAGGTATGTCTAGGCAATGCAGATAGTAATTTTCCAGAAGACAGAGTGGACTGAGCACTTACTATGTGCTCATGGTTTATGATGTATACTATGGGATATAGTGTTTGGGGGGGTGGGGGTGTCAAGTTAGAGCTTCTAATTAAAAACTCAACACATAAAATGTGAGATAGTGGAGGGGGTGTCATGAAGAAAATAAAGCAGGGGGAAAGTAAAGACAGTGGTGTGGGGTTGGATGGCCCTGACAGTCTCCCTGAGGAGATGACATGTAATTGAGGAAGGAGTGATGAGGAAAAAACCAGTCATGAGGCTATTTGGGGAACTTATATACTAAGGAGCGTCAATAGCAGCACTCATGAAGGCTCTGAGGTGGGAACAAGCCTGGTGGAGATGTGGAAGGCTGCAGAGCAGGGACCAGCTGGGAGCAGGAGCCAGTTAAGAAGGAACTGCAGAAGGGTCCAGGTGAGAGATGAGAGGTGGTGGGGGCAAAGGAAGATGCATCCAAGAACTCACACACCAGCATCAGATGAACAACTATGCTGACTCAATTCCTCCTCCTTTTCCTTCCCTTGGAGCCCTGGTGGTGCAGTGGTTAAGAGTTTGGCTGCTAACCAAAAAGTTAGCAGTTCGAATCCACAAGCCATTCCTTGGAAACCCTATGGGGCAATTCTACACTCTGTCCTATTGGGTCACTGTGAATTAGAATCAACCCAATGGCAACGGATTTGTTTTGGGGTTTGGTTCCTTCCCCTAAGCCTTCAATGAAGCAAAGATAAGATGCTGCCAGGACCTGCATCCTTAATGGCAGGGAGTGTGTTAGGTGGAGGTATAGAGGCAGCAGGTGGGGGCAGGGGTGGTGGGACATGTGGGATGAGAGGAAAATCTGCATCCTAGACTTCACAGTACAGAAGGAGAACCCTTGAAATTTCTATCAGAAGTGAAGTAACTCAAGTACTCTTCAGAGAGAAGGAGGAAAAGATAGGTATAGAGAGCTTAAATTTGAAAACAGGTAACACAATTATACTTTAAGAGGAGATAAACTAATTGACAATTATTAGTCATCTTTTAAACAGACCAATTAGATGAGATTTTTTTTTTTTTGGTAAGTGATGACTTTTTATAAAATTGTCACCTCAATGAGTGAAGTCTTCAACCTCCTCCTGAAACATATGTCACAGTTGGGGGAAAAAAAAATCAGTTGGTTATGACTAGTTGTAATTTCTGCTCATAATAAC